TAAGTACTAGTGTTTGGCGATCCATGGATGTTGCTGAAAATTAGAAAATGATGAGATATATATTAGATGAAGAATGGTGTGTGAGAAAATCTGTAGTGAAGTAGATGAAGAATGTGATGTATTATATATAGAGAGAACTTTGTTAATATAGATTAATATGTTGAGTTTTATTTTATTATTTTTTTCTTTTTTTGCATTTGTTGTTTATTCATTAAAGTTTTGTGAAACTGACTTTCTGGTTTTTCGTTGGACGTTGAATGAAATTGAGGAGGTTTTCAGGGATGCATGATATGAATGTAAGGAAATTAGTTTTTTCCGTGCATGGAAATAATTTGTCCTCACACTTGCAATGTGATTAATTTGAGTGTAAGAGCAACTAATTATACTAACCATTTCATGTTTTTAACTAACATAGATAATGATTTAATTTTTAAATTTTTTTTTTAGTTTTTTTCCACTTTAATTATTAATTAAATTGTTAACTATTTTAAAAAATGCATTCCACACTAATTAAATATAATTACTATGAAGATGTTAGGCATTTTATTTTTTATATTATTTTATTCTTCTAATCATAATAAATACAAAAATTCTTTATTAAACTCAATAAAATTATTTATATTTTAAATTCAATAAATATTAAAATAATTTATGTTTAATTAAAATAAAAAATATAATTAAAGTACTCATTAAAAAATTACTAATTAAAATAACTTTCTAATTATTTTAACTAAAATTTAATTAAAATTTAGAAAGCTTAGATGTTCTAAATTAGGCTCAATATCACTTTTATGACTAGATATTCATCTGTATATACTTTGAAGCCTAATTTTGTTTTGTTTTGTTTTTTGTTTTTTGTTTTTTTTTATAAGCAAGCCTAGTTATTTTTATGACTAGTTAACCATCCCTATTAGCTTTAAAAAAAATCCCCCGTTAATTTTTTAAATTTGTTGCATATTAAGAACTTTGAAAGTGCCCTTAATTTTTCAAACAGTTTAAACCACCATCTGATTTATATAAAACAGTTTAAAACGCCTTCTCTATTAACTTTTGTGTATAATTTTAACAGTTTATTGACATTGTGTGTCATTAAAAGGTTAATTAAATTTATTAAAGTCTAATTAAAATTTTATAAACATAATTTAATATTAAAAAAATAAAACAGAAGTTAAAACCCAAAACTTTTCAAGAAAAAGAAAAAGAAAATAAAAACCAAAACAGTCTCCTTCTTTCTTTCTCGACTCTTACTTACTGAAAGTTCATCTTTTGATTTCAACCACAGCTTTCCTTCCATTAATCGCTCAAGAGCAAGAAGTAAACAACTAAATTTCGTTTTGAAGAGAGCAGCAAAAGGCAGAAGGGGACTGCTCATAAGAGGATTAAGCCTAGCCAAATTACTCACCGGTAAAATGCGCTTATACTCCGTGAGATGGGCAATATGCTAGAATGACTTTCCAACAAAGTGAAATTAGCAAAATAACTTTCTTCTATTTTTTTTGAAGAAAGACATTTACTCATTCTTTGTAAAAAGAGGTCATTTTACAAATAAAAATTTTTGAAAAGTTATTTTACTAATAAAACTTTTCAAAAAAGTTATTTTTACAAAGGCCTCAAGAATGAGGGGTTGGTCTCCTATGCTCGCGACGTCATTCCGGCGCTTGCACAGTCGTCTGCAAGTGGAGGAAGTGCGGTTGGGGTGGTGCCGGCGGTGGGTGAGAGTGTGATGGGGAGGCTGCTTAACTTTAGGGTTTTTTTCAAATAACTTTAAATGGACGGCTCAGATTAGATCTCTTTAGATGAATGGTTGAGACTAAATGGGTCTTGATTTGTAATTAATATTTTCCAATAATAAGCATATATGTTATAAAAATACATTTTCTTATTATTAATGAAGTGCCACATCATTAAAATTTGTTAGGCATTACGGGATTGGACGGAAGGAGCGTTTTGAACTATTTTATATAAATCAGCGGCATTTTAAACTTTTTTAAAAAAAATCAGGGAGCACTTTAAAATAAGGTGTCACGATCCATGTCGACTACGTACGTATAAGAAAGTTCGCCGACGTTGGACTCGTCTTAGTCTATGCGTGGCTCGCGACAAATTTTTTTTTCTACCTACTAACTATCTTAGCGGAAAATGCAGAAAAATTTAAAATTTAAAACTACTAATTATATTTGAAGCATCAATGCACATCATTAATACAAGCCATAGTATGAGATAATAAAATAAAATGTGGAATATAAAAATAACACATAACATAACATATGAGACTAATTAAAACCAAAGTCTGTCATTCACAAGTCAGGCCCCATATGTACAAAATTTGGCATGAGTAGGCCTGTCCGTAACATCAACTGTAGTCGTCATCATTAACAATTTGCTTACCTACAACATAGGATAAAAAGTGAGCTTGGGGTTCAGTAAATAAAGACAGCCTATGAATTTAAGTGAGATGTAACATATCTCAAATAACAAAATACTAATTATAAAATTTGATGAATCATCATTCATAGCATATAATATTGATGACATTATACTTAAAACGTTGATGCACGTGCAACTTAACTTCTAGGGCCTTGATGGTACTGCTGCAGCTCGACAAACTAATTCAAGTGCTTCATGACATATTTTATCATGCAATCATATCACTTACTTATCAATGATTTGCCTACGCAGGACTTAGCGACTACCCTACTTTTGCCTTGGCCGAGGCTCAAGGGTATTTTGCTATGTTAGCATACAATTTCCTCAAAAATGAAAAGTTTAGAGGGTTTCTTGGTATGATGATTTAAATTATGGTAGTTCTAATCATGATTTTAGAATCAGAATTATGATTCATGATTCTGAAATCAGAATCATGATTTATAATTTTTGGTTCAAATCATGTCTCTGAAACAATGATTCAGAATCAGAGGTTTGAATCACATTGAATCAAAAAGTGAGTGGTTTTAAAATCATAATTTGAGCTAGTTTAAAGCATCACATCAGATTCTGAATCATGATTTAGAATCATCCAAACTAAACACTGATTCTAAATCATGATTCAGAATCACTGTAAACAAACATTGATTCTGAACCAAGATTCAGAATTATAATTCTAGATCCATCTACCAAACGCACCCTAAATGTGTGAGAATCATGATGAAACAATATGAGAAAAAAAATGCAAAAAAAAAAGAATGGGTTTTATTTATTTATTTGCAAGATAAGAAATTTCGTTGACGTTTGGTTGATGGATTCAGAATCATTCTCAATTTAAGTGTGTTTTTTATAAAAAAAATATTATAATAAATCACGAATAATTATGATCCGAATTATGGTACAAATCCACTAAGAGCTTCCTCTTCTTAGAGGCACTCGGTGATTCTAGTCTTTTTTTTTCCCCTGCTTTTATAGTTATCGGAGCAGTCATATTGTATACTTGTTTATGACTTTTGGGGCACATAGATACTTTTGCCAACAAATAGTTCTTTCTCAAGTATTCAGTTATGCACTTGACATTCTTTTCCAAAACAAATTATCCCGTGATTATTACATTTTAAGATTTCATAAAAATTTGATCTTTATTATTCTTTTTGGAAAAGACAAGAACAATTTTGGCACCTAATTCACTCGGAAAGGAGACATGGCTACCATCTGAAAATTGACACCTATATTAAGCTGAGAGGAATATATATAATTCATTGGTAATCATATAACTTTCATACAAATGGGGTTATTTATAAACCGATTGACCACGGTACATACATGTGGCCACAATTTATTTTATATAAGAATGTCATGGACCCGAACTTCTTCAAGTAATATTAATCCCGCATAATAAAATATTGTATTTATTTAATCCTGCATGGAAAAAAAAAAGGATTAGTACTTTTTAGTGCATGCATACTAATTAAGCAGATCAAATAGTGAGGAAAAAAAAAACATAAAATGAATAATTACTTTGAGGCTTGAGCAGTCAAATGTAGCATCAATGGGAGGCAAAGCCAAGGAAAGTCCACATTGCTCGGAAATTTGAGAGAAACGACGAGAATCAAAACCTGTGAGTACTGCCTTAAGACACCGGCACGTCTCTTGTTTGGTTTTATTGTCGTTTACCACTTCCTTAGCGCCGCTGCAGCAATCCTCGGATGGCTTATCGTCGTCATCTATCAGGTAATCCAGACATGGCATTAGCTCTTCGAGAACGTCTAAGCACGAGTCAGGCAGTTCGGGGTCGGATAAGAGAGGCTCCTCGGCGTTGATTTGGCGAAGGCGATCGGGGTCCGGTTCAAACGACCTCGGAGATATGATTGAAGCTGCATCGAGGACAGTGGAACTTGAAGGGAGAAAGATATCTATCAGGTAATCCAGACATGGCATTAGCTCTTCGAGAACGTCTAAGCACGAGTCAGGCAGTTCGGGGTCGGATAAGAGAGGCTCCTCGGCGTTGATTTGGCGAAGGCGATCGGGGTCCGGTTCAAACGACCTCGGAGATATGATTGAAGCTGCATCGAGGACAGTGGAACTTGAAGGGAGAAAGATAATGGATAGGAGCACTGCTATTCGAATCATGGCTTCTACGAATGAAAAAAAGTACTGGGACGAAATTCTCAAAAGTTGTGGACCACTTTTAAGTTGTGAGCAGAACACTTTTAAGTTGTCAGAAGGATAGGAATGCATATATTCACTTGAAGGGGGCTGGTTAGTTTCCATGCAAGTTTTGTGAGCTTTATATCAGAGTTTATTTGCTTGTAAAATTCCATGATTATCTTGTTAATCGCCATATGTGGAGGTTTTCTATCACCAGAATTTTGGAAAAGTTATTTTTCGTGTCAGGAAATAGTTAGAAAACAACTTCTCACGTGCCAAGTAAGAGAGTAAGAAATCAAACAGTGCCTTAATAAAACAGGCTTTATTATACATAGGAGAAGGGTTTTGTTATTTTCTTATCTAAGGTGATCAGAAAATTAGTATTTAGGAAAAAAAAAAAAAAAAAAAAAAAAAAAAAAAACAACAACAACAATGTACTCAGTTTTAAGTGTTTCCAATCACTAACATAGTTTACCCTTAAATGTACAAGACTAGAGGATGTATAATGTATATGTTTAGTAAGTTGCCTATGTACATTGTTTTCAAAATTATTGGTTTGGGGAGTTGCGAAACTGGGATTTGGAGTCGGAGCCGCCACGCTTTGCATACAAAGAGCCAGCAGCAGGGACTTCGGCGTGCGAAGACACCATTGCAGAAAGCGGTTGGAAATTTGTATTCCCAACAAACCAATAAAGAGCCCATTTTAAGTTGCAAAGGGTGTACTTTAGAGCTTTCGTCCAGTTCTCGTGCTTGGTGAAGCTTTGTGTGATAGAGTAGCTTTCCACTTTGTCAAACTCAATCCTGCAAATTCAGTCCATTACATGGACATGCTTATTAGTTATTACTATGTGTAAACCAATTTTTCAAAGCATTTGGAATTACTCCTAGCTGCAAAATTTGCATACCACATTGGCAGATCAAGATTCAAGCAAAAAAAAAAAAGTTTAACACAACATTTGAAGAGGATAATGTTTAAGGAAAGACAAACGTTTTGGGGAGAATGTATTTTACCATGTAATAGAGATCGCAAAACTTACTTGTACGGAAGTTTAAAGCATTTCTCAGGAGGTATGTTGTTTTCTTGATCCTTCAAGTAGGCAAACTCAGCAAACTCCTTCAGGCATGTCAAGAATGTCGTCATTGCTTTGTCATAACGAGTACTCCAGAACAAGTTCACAGGACCAAACCTAATTGGAACCACCACTCAGAACATGAGTTTTCAATGAAATAAACTGAAAAGAAAAGAGATATCCTCTTTAAGAAACTAAGCAAAGAGGAAAAATTTCTACAAATTATTTCCCATTCCTATCGGACGGAATACAATTCTAGTCTATACTCACAGTTCATAAGTATTATTGTTGCTATCCACAATTCGAGGGTAGCTGCCCATAGGAAGTATCTTTATTCGAGATCTAAAAGTCAAGTAATTAAGGCCATTTCAATAGAAACTACAATAACACGAAAACAATAATTCCATTTCAAGTTCTAAAAGACAAATACTTAAATGACTCATGGAAAGGATACTGAAATTTTGGTCGGAAATATTGACACATGGTATGCAGGAGGAGGCAAGCTTGGCCCCAGGCAGCATTTATCTCATCCCACTCCACCTATATTTTTTCACACGTTAAACATCATATAAGAGCCATGTCTTAGTAAGGGGGAAAAAAACACCAATTAAGGGGAAAAAAAACACCAATTAAGGGGAAAAACAGCAACAATACCATCGCTCTCTAGCTTGGCAATAAAAAATGCCAGAAAAAAGTTTCACGAGTCATACTGGCTATGATTGATAGGGGAAGATGCAATTAAGACTACAACCCTTAGGGAAGCAACAAGGTTAACCATCTCACCGGAATTTTAGGAAGCCGTCCAAGTCGAAAATTGTTAATTGTCCCGAATTCTCCATCATGCCCAATGGGAAAGGCATCATTTAGCACATTAGTTTTCTTTAGTAAGTCCAAATGTGCTTGTGAAACTTCTATCTTGGCTAGAATTGCATCTCTCTCTTCCTGTTGACCCAAAAGTGTTGCTCTAACTCAAAAATTGCTTCAAAATAATGGAGAAGAACAAAATTTATTCCACCTTCTTAAATTTTGTTCTGCAAAATATATCCATAGGTTTCTGATTTTCGTATAGTCATAGGAGGATGGAGTAAGATAATCTGATACTACCTACTTTGGCTGGTAAAGCATGATTATCAACTACCAAAGCTGAAAGCATTGTATTGAACTCCTATGGCTAAAAACGGTGAAGGGAGAAAAGCAAATAAAAAGTTAAGATTGCCAAACCTGATGTGTAATTAATTGATATTGGAAATTATTGAACTCATGCCAGTACCTGTAATATATTACATTCAAGAACAATATAAAATCTTGTATTGAACAGTAAATTTAAGTGGAAAGGATGACTTTTCAAAAAGAGTAATGCAAGCTATTGGCCTATTACTTAATCAGAACTGCAAACATAAAAAATAAAATGTGACCAGGAAAAGTGATTTACCGCTCCTCCAATTCCTTAAATTTGGTTGATTTTATCTCAAGTGCCTTAAGTTCAGCATTGACATCTGCATTCTGTTTCTCTATTTCTTCAATAGCTGCTTCAAGTTTTCTCTCTTCTTCCTCAATCTTAATACCAACCAACGAAGATCTAATGAGTATGTGCACCTTTTTTGTAAGATTTATTGCACAAACTTAACTAGTAAGCACATATCTTTGTGATGTACAACAATTTAAATGAAGAATGATAAAAAATAAAAAAAAAAAGGTCCACTAAGAATATCACAGCAAGATTGAGGATAAACTATGATCTCACTTCAAAACTTAAATTTATTTGACAAAAAGAAAAAGAAAAAAAAAAGCAGATTTGTGATATTAAAAGTTAAAAGACCTAAAAATTATAAGCAAAATCAGATTTCCAGTCCATAAAAAATTACTTATGACCCTCTTTTTAATCTATGTAATTGTATGCTGTTTTTACTAGTTAAAGTTGTAATGCCCTTCAACGCAGATGTCAATTAGAATTTGACCTCCAACTCTAAGGAATCACTACATGAATGACAAGTTCCAAGCAAGCACCTTCAGTTTCTCTTTAAGAAAATCAGCTTCACTAATAACATTGCGAGGCTCCCCCTCTAAGCGCTTCAGACAGGCCTCATAAGCCTCAATATCCTTATTCCCGTCTTCAATTTCCTTTTCAAGCTTTTCTGACAATACCCTCATGCACTCAAGGCATAAAGGCTGTTCAACCTGGAAATGTTAACAGGAACACACATGAATAATCCTCATTTGGCCCAAAAACAGAGTTGAAAAACAATAAACACTTAAACTAACATAATTAAATAACATTAAAACTAACATAATTAAATAACATTAAACTTTCTTGGAAAAGCACGAATACCTGCGTCTGGGTGGTGGCAATTTCAAATGCACGCTTCAAGACAGTTATAGTCGAGGAGAACCCAAAATTGTTTGGTTGCGAAGAACCATTGGAGCCTCCAACGGATAACGGTGAATGGTTTCCTCCTGCATCCGAAGAGGACTCAGATTTATCCACAACCACAAAGGACTCATCCATTGCCTTTCCGGCCTGGCCAGCATAAGATGGAACAGCTCCCCCACGAGGTCGAGGAGGGATGCCTTGAGCCGGAGGCTTTTGCTTTGGTAATACCACAAAGGAGTTGTCCATTTTCGTTGAAGCCAACACGCTATTCGCCCCATGCATTGACGAGCCCTGCATTCCTGCATCAATTTATTGCCAAACCAAATGACTTACTGTGGATGGCAAATCAACCAACATTGCACTTCCAAGAACTGCATTAAATATTTATTCACTAAACTGATTTCTTTTTAACCTTAATCTCACATAAAAATCCCAATAAACAAACAGTGTCATACAGTTCACCATCCCAGATCAAACATAAGCTACAAAAAGGTCCAGTACTTCAAACTAAACGGTAATCGTGCTTCACTGAAATATCAATAAGTCATTGGTCAAAATAATCTCCCCCCAAAACTAAAGAACCATATATCATCTATTCAGGTTTCAACTACAACAAAAATTCATGTAAAATACTCCAAAAGGCACACAAAATTCTTCAATTTCCCATAGATTTAACAGGCAAGCATCAGACTTGACGAACACAGATGCGCAAAATGAAATTATTCTTTTTTTTAAAAAAAAGGGCTTTGATCAATGATAAATAGAATTTAAAGGCCAAAAAACAAGAGATACTGACCGGAGCGAGAGGAGTCGTTTAAGAACCTGTCGGCGTAGGAATCGACGCCGACGACGCAGAGGGAGTGACGGCAGTTCTGGCAGACCCATCGAGGCAGATTCGGGTCCACCGGGAAGTTCCGACCCCCCTTTTCATTCATATTACTCTCCTTCTCCAAACTTCGCAAAATTCCGTTCCAGACTTCAACTGGTTTTTTTGGATTCGAATTCGAGCAAATCACAAAAGTTCCTTTGCTTTTGTTTGCTTCTCGACTAGAAATTTGTTGTCACTTTTTCTCGTATTTTTCTTTCGGGAGAGAGAAATTTTCTCGTCTTTTCCCTTGATCTGTTTTTCCTGGAAAATGTCGTTTGGGTTGGATCTGTTCTGGGCTAAGAACAGGGCCTAATTCGGCCTGGTTCTAATCTGGGCCTTTTAGTAGCTTTAAAAGCCCAATGTTCTACGTTCTTTTTTTTATTTTTTTATTTCAGAAATAGTAGAAAATATGTTGATATGAAAAGCTTAAGAAAGTATATAGGCTAACTTTTAGTTATAGAAATTAGGATGTCATAACTTGTCAAGATATAGTTTATAACCAGATAAGTTATAGACAAACTTGTTAAGTTATAGTTCATAAACAGACAAATTATGGACCAAAATAGTAATTTAGCCTACTTTATTAATTTATGTAAATTATTAAACTATTAATTTTAATTCATCTCAAGTTTTAATCTATTTCCTTTAGTACTGAGCTTCAGGCTACTAAAAAAAAAAAAAAAAACAAAACAGTAGTGACCTTCAGGCCATTTGTAAATTAAACAAGACGACCACTTTTAGACTTTTCTAATTTATTTTAAATTAAGATTAGATTAGACGAGCCATTCACTCGGGGTTGCAGCGAAAAATATTGTTTGATTATTAAAAAAGTTGAAAATTTTTATAGTATACAATTAATTTATATATACATATATCTATATAATATTATATTAAGAGATATATAATATTATATTAAGAAGTTTTTTACAATGTATTTGAGCTTTTTTTTTTCTTTCTTCTTTATCCATGTGGTAATTAGAATATGCAATTGTTCTAGTTTTTTACGAGAAGTAAAATACTATGTTTGCCTAAATCATCTATATTAAAATTCATAGTCAATAGTTAGGCAAATACTTCTGTAATAACAAATTTATTAAATTATATATCTGTAATTATAATTTACTAGAAATAAAATAATATCAAAATGCCCACGGTCATCATACATTAATAACAGTAAAAATCTAAAATTTGCAACGTTATGTATAACTATGTACACAACAAATTCATAAGATAAAGACAATACATAAATTAACTTCATGAACAAACAATATATGAATAAACAAATTCATGTCTCTATCTGTGTGTCTTTAGCTTTCTCCTTCACAGATGAACAAACAAATTAAAAGCCTCTTGTAATAAAATTTGGTTATATAAATTTTACAGAATGAAAAAAAGAAAAAGTTAAAAAATCTGAAAAATATAGATAAATAATTGAATAAACGGAAAAAGAAAAAAGAAAAAACAGCAAAAAGATGAATAAGGGATAAATATAGTAATATTTTTATGTAGCAAATGCGGCTCAAATATTCAGTACTCTGAGTAATATGTGACAAATAGATTATTTTATATTTTTATGGCCCCGGCTACCTAAATTAATGTTTTTCTCAGAATAAAAAACAATGATGGGAACGACACAAATGCACAAAAATTATTAAGATATTATATCCATCACCAGATTATTATATGTATGTAAGACAAAATAAATGATTAGAGTAAAGGCAAGATTATCCAAAATCTGCTGGTGAATTAAAAGGAAACGAAAAACAGCAACATCGAAGAAACAATAAAGCCTATCATTTTTGCCCAAGTAAAATAAAAGAAGTAGACAGAATCAAGCCACTGAATAAGTAATGAAGTCTAGCATTTCATTTGTTCCAAAATGACCAAAGAAGCCTAAACCAAAAACAAATGAAAAAATAAAATAAAAAATTAATGCTAAAAGTATACAATCACAACATAGGACAGAGGACAGGTAAGAACTCAAAAACTTTTGCACATGAAAGAGTGGAGAAAATAGATAAAAATAGCAAACTGAATAATTCAAAATCAATTAGTAAACCAAATTAAAAAGTAAAAAAGGTAAAGATTAAAGAAATAAATTTTGATTGAAATACTTAAAACAGAAGTACTTCAAATCTAAAATAGGTCAAACTGATAGAGAAAAACAAACTTTGTTGAATGAAATAGTAATACTGAGAAAAAAAACCAAAAAAAAAAAAAAAAAAAAAAAAAAAAAAAAAAAAAAGAGCTAATGTATTTGTAAATGACTTTTGAATGAAATAATGATGCTACGAAAGTAAAAGCATCAGAATAAGTTAAAGGAATATAAAAGAGACGGTCAAAAAGTTTTAGTGAAAAAAAAGAAGATAATATCATAGTTCAAGTGAAGGAGACATATTTACAATAATTTTTGGATAAATTATATAAAACTCAACATGTCAAAACTAATTGTAATCGCCATCGCCACATAAAAAAAATTAAAGCTGAAATATATCAAATAAATATATGTATGTATGAAAAACTCAAAACGATAAACAATGAAAAATAAAACCGAAGTTCTTTGAATGTAATAATGATGTCAAAAACACAAAAGCATTAGAATAAGTAAAAGAAAACTAATATATATCTAAATAACTCTTGAATGAAACAGTAATGGAAAGTAACCAAAATCATTTGAATTGAAAAACTCAAAACCATAAACAATGAAAAACAAAACCGAAGTTCTTTGAATGTAATAATGATGTCAAAAACATAAAAGCATTAGAATAAGTAAAAGAAAATTAATATATATCTAAATAACTCTTGAATGAAACAGTAATGAAAAGTAACCAAAATCATTTGAATAAATGAAAATAAAAAAAGAGAGACAGCTAAAAAAATTGTAGCCAAAATGGATAAACAAAATAAAAATCCAGTTGAAGAAAACATATCCACATCAATTTTTAAACAAATTAAATAGAACTCACCATATTAAAATCAATTATAACCACCATCGCCATATAAAAAAAACTAATTCAAGCTAAAATATGTCAAATAAGCATATCTATATATATATCACAGAGAAATAAATAAACACAAAGTCAATATCTCAGCAATATTTAATAATGAAATACAAAGAAGATAAGACATAAATTTCTAACATTTATTAACAATAGAACAACATAAGACAATTTATGTGAGTGCTATTTATCAGTAACATCCATTAATAACATGACAGAACTAAATATGAACAGAAAAGAATAAAACACAAACAACACAGATTAATATCACTATAGTAAACCAGTACCTAGAATGCGCTAAATACTGCCTGAACTGCAGAATATCAGCCAAACAAACACAAACAGACACGAACAGAAGGAGTAGTAAATGTAAGTGATAAAATGATAAAGTAGTAAATGATCTAAAGTGAAATAGAGCAGTAAATGATCGCACGTAAACATGCGTATATGAAACTGATTCATACACAGTAGCATTTATTTATAAATAAAGAGGAAGAAAATAGACTGAAGCGGTTTATAACTTACAAGAACATCACATGTAGCTGCATTAAGTCGGTTTAGAGAAATCTAAAAAATAAAGATTTCTTATTTAAATCATAAAAGCAATATACTATTACAGCAAGACAGAGGAAAGAAGAAACAAAGGAAAAGAGTTTTTTTCGGAAGAGAAAATAAGAAGAAAAAAAATAAGGGCATAACAGTTTTTTCCCCCCAAATTTTTTACTTATTTCAGATAATACACAAAAAAAAAAAAAAAAAACATCTTTTAAACCATCTGAAAGGAAAACATCATCAATTTAGGAGGACAGATCATTACCCTAAATGCTACAGATCATCAATCTAGGTTGACAGAACATATGGGAACAAATTTTAAAAAATTAAAAAAATAAAAATAAACACACAGGCCATAAAAGAGAGTAGGCAACAAAGAGACAGAGGGAAGCATAATTTTTTCTTTAAAAAAAAAGAAGAGGCAAAAGCATGTACAATGGACAAATATAAAAGGCAATGGAATCCAAATTTCTGCCCAAAAATAAAACAGAAAACACGGATCAGATGAGAGCATCGAAAAAGAAAAGGAGTCTGGATTGTCCTTTTATAATGAAATTTAGAAAAAATTTATACTTCGAGTTTGAGATTAAATTTAAATTTAAGTTTTTTTTTTTAACTTTTATAAATTTAAATTTAAATTAATAAATAATATTTTTTATTATTAAAAATGTCATAATTTTTTCGTTTTAATTCTGATTGAGATTTATGTATTCACAACGAAAAGACGAATAAAACTCACTCATATACCTTATTAAAATTTTTCATCACAATTAAGTTTTTATTAAAATATTATCTAAATACAAACTTAAATTTTAATTCATCTAAACACAAACTCAAATAGATTTTTAATTCAAATCACAACTCAAATATGCACATCTAAACACAAACTCAAGTTACAACTTCAATTCATGTTATAACTCAAACTAAATTTAAGATCATCATTCAAGTCATCCTAACTCAAAAGTGTAAAAGAACAATCCTAAGGCTATGTTTGAACCACAATAAACAGATCGAAGAAGGCATAGATTCTAGGATTTTGGGCAGAAACGAAAGAAGAGGAGCAGTGAAATGGGAGGATGATGGAAGAAGAAATTGGCGAGCTGGTGCTTTATGTCCACCAAAATGACCGAAACAACCCCGCACAAGAAAAAATTGAACAATTGAGGGTAAAACAGTAAGATCATACTGCATATAATAAAAAGACCTAAAAGCCCATGCTCAGAAATGGGAAAAGAAAAGAAAAAGGGGGCCAATCGGTCAACTAACAACTAAGGCCAAAACTCACCACAGGATTTTTAACTGTACATCGAACAGTTAAATATGAGTGTGTGAACAGTGAACCTTGCCTTTGCTTTATAATTTGTCTTTTAGCCAATAATATTATCAGCATGGCATCTATTCAACATGTTATGTGCCATGTACCTAATTTTATACACTGATTGACAAAGGACCTCAAGGTAATGTTATGTATAAATACTACAATTTATTGAAATTCCTTTTTTCATAATTGGTATAATAAAAATATATTTAACTATTTTCTTCTTCTTTTTTTTTTTTTGAAGAGTAACTTTCTTAACTAAAGAGTCAGATAGATATATATTTTTTTTTTGGAGAATGATAGATATTAGTAAGTTGAAATATAACGTAAAATTTAAAATATTGTATAAACAACAATAATTGGACTTATTATAAGAAATACTTTATAGTTGAAACCGTGAAACCTAAGAATAATAATAGTTATTCACTAAAAGTTTTTAACTATTATTATTAATTAATTTTACTATTATTAAAATATTTAAAAGTTATTATATTTCAATTCCATTCTCATAATTTTCGCTTAAATTATTTTAGGATTAATTATACAAATAATCTATGAGTTTACACTTAATTTCACTTTAATCCATGACTTTTCAAAAGTCTTACGTATGATTCTTAAAATTTTTATTGTGTTTCAATTTCAGTCATTTTATTAACTAAATGTTAAAATTTGGTAAAATTTGTATAAATTATAGATGAAAATTAGAAACATTTAAAGATTATTTATGAAAATTTTCTTTTGTTTTTATATTATTTTAGTCCATAAATTTTATATTTTTCAATTTTAGTCCTTAATTTTTACAAATTCTGTCAAATATTAAACACTAAATTAATAGAATAACTGAAACTGAAATATAATAAATGGAGAAATAGGGAAATAGGCCAAGACTTAAGATGAATTAAAATTAATAGACCAATAGTTTACATAAGTTAATAAATAGCCCAAATTACTGTTTACGTCCATAGCTTGTCTGGTTATTAACCATAACTTGACAAGTTATTGTCCATAAATCACAGTTTTTGTCCATAACTTGTCTGGCTATGAACCATAACTTGAAAAGTTTGTCCATAACTTATCTGGTTATAAATCATAACTTGACAAGTTATGGCCTATTAATTTCTATAACTAAAAGTTGGCCTATATACTTCTTTAAGCTTTTCATATTGACATAATTTCTACAATTTCCGTATAATAAAACCTTGAGGCTGACCACGTATAACGTGTGAAAGGTTAAGAATCAAAATGAGATTAAGAGTAAACCTGAGAATTATTTATGAGATTAACCCTTAATTTTATTCAAAAACAATTAATAAAGTTAAATTGCTATATAAATACTTTAAAGAATATTCATTTCATGACTTAAATTATTACTCATATTACTATAATATTTTTTTTATAAAAATTTAAATTTAATTTTTTTATTATAATATTTTTCTTTCACAAATCATCACAGAAATTATAGAAAAAACAAGCTCTTAAAAACTTTAGATAAATAGACAACGATCCGAAGAGTTTATTCCTTTTGACCCAAGTATCTGCTCACATCATACTCTTCTTTCTCTGCGATTCGATTTCGATCCCCAAACAGATTTCGAAACCCTAGCGAGCTCTCTCATTCTTCGATCATGGAGATCACAACGAATTCCACCGAGCCGAAAATCTACCAGCTCATGGTAACGCTGTTGGAGAGGAAAACCCTAATCTTGAGGTACGCAACCCCAAACGTCCTCGCCAATGATATCAAGCACCGTCTCTATGAAATCACAAGAATTCCGACAAGTCTCCAGCGATTGATCACCGGAACGAGCCAACTCCGAGACGATTCCGTGATCTCCAGCGACGGCGGGCACTTTCCGGCGGTGTTTCTGACGCTGCGGTTGCGCGGCGGGAAGGGAGGGTTCGGGTCGCTGCTTAGGGGCGCGGGGTCGAAGGCGTGGCAGAAGAAGACGAGCAACTTCGACGCCTGTCGTGACATGAGTGGGCGGAGGCTACGCCATGTCAACGCGGAGAAGAAGCTTGAGGAGTGGAAGGCCGCGGAGGAGGAGCGGCGGCTGGAGAAGAAGGCGGAGGAGTTTCTGAAGAAGTTGGCGAAGAAGGGGAAGAAGGGCGTTGGGGATGGTGTGGCCGAGAAGTACGTCGCCAAGTATAGGGAGGAGTCTGAACGCTGCGTTTCAGAGGTCCTGGATTCGGTTAAGGAGGCCGTGGAGGGGAAGCGCAAGGCGGGGTCGGCAAGCAATGTTGCTGAGGCTAAGCGGTTGAAGATATGGTAAATTTCCTTTCTTTGCTATTTTTCCCTGCTTATTGATAGACTCTTGGTTGCTATGTTTGCAGTACAGTTTGTTTTTTTGGGATTAGGGTTTTTGGAAATTTGGTTGCATTACCGGAATTGGGTTTGGATTTTGGGTTATTTGTTTTTTGGATTGGTTGCATTACTGGAGTTGGGGTTGGAATTTGGGCTATTTGTTTTGGGTATTGATTTTATTTTGGGACGGGGGTTATTTGAATTTGGGCTGGGGGATTTGGTTGTTGATCTCTATGTCTCTCTAAAAACTTTCCTCATAGTTTGATTTGTTCCCTTTGATGTTTATATCTGAATCTTTTGGACTTATTTAGGATGGGAAAGCGAACATTGGCTGAAAGTGATGGTGATGATTCGGATGAGGAACAGGAGAATGAGAAATCCACTATATTGAATAATGGCAATCATTCAGATTATAGCAAGGATGCTGAGGGAAGTTCAGGTTCTGTTACTGGTGGGAAACAAGATGGGGAACTTTCAAATGGCTCCTCCGAGAGTGGCTCTGAGGAAGAAAAAGAGAATGTTGTGCTAGGAAGCAAGGATTGTTGTGAACTTCCAATTCAAGATTCTCTTTTGGAGGAGCAGAGTGATGTTTCGGAACCACTGGCTCACGGCGAGAAGATAGCTCAGGCTACAACTGTACCCTGCTCAGATGAAGTTGTACAAGAGGAAAAGATGAACTGTGATGAGACTGTCGTGGAAAATGTTTCTACTTCAAGCTGCAGGGATGGGGTTGAAAGCACAGTATTGGTTTCTGATTCCCCTTCGTCAGAATCTGGTCTAGGAGTTCATGAAGAAGCAGATTCAAGTAAAAATGTTGCAGAAACAGAAACAGAAACTCCACTGGACTTTGATCGATTCAATTCTGCAGTTGAACTAGAGGTGTGTTTGAGAACATTAATCTTTTCTTACTCTGTTTTGTTTTTCCAGTTGTCTGGTGTGTCGGTTTTGCGTCATTATCTATCGTCATTTAGATAAATCCGTTTACGCTGTTGTTTTAAGGTTGTTAGTACCTAGCTTGTTAAATTCCATTTTTTTTTTCTCTCTCTCCCGCGGTGTTTAGAGTTTAGGCTCTGGTGCAATTTGCCTAAATCCTAGGTGCCTTTCTTTTCGTTATTTTCTTTTTCGTGCATATAGTTATTGAAAAATTGAACTTTGTGCATTAGTTTGTTGTTGAACACGTATGATCTTATGTTCCGCCTTTCGAACATAGATGGCTTTAATGGAAGCAAAACTTTTAGGCCGCTATTCACTACCTTACTTGTTACTACCGTTACGAAAGTTGTCTTGTCTCTTGTTTAACTGGCTTGTTTAGTTTTACAGCGTGTACAGAATAGTGTGTTCTTCAATTCTGCTTGCTTATTTCATTCCCCACCTGTTATGATAGGTTCTTGGCTTGGAAAGGTTAAAGTCCGAACTTCAGGCTCGTGGGTTAAAGTGTGGAGGCACTTTGCAGGAGCGCGCTGCCAGGCTTTTCCTGCTAAAATCTACCCCTTTGGATAAGATTCCTAAGAAGTTGCTTGCTAAAAAGTAAGTGTGTAATCTCGGTTTCGTTTGTACTAGGTTGCGAAGCAATCAATTTTACTCCCAAGTGGTTTACTAGTGACTGGAAATGTGTATATTTGGAGCTCTGCTCCGCTCATTTCTAACTAATCTTTTCTTGATATGTTACCTTATCGCATAGAATACTATTATGCTAATAAAGAGATTTTCTTTCTATAGAAAAGGTTTGTATAAATACCTGTGACATGATTCAGAGGAGTACCTTCGTGCATGAAAAAAGAAATAAAGAAAAGAAAGAGACAAATAACATTGATATCCTTAAAAAAAAGGGTAATATTGACAAAATATACGGGTATAGACTAATTGATGAACCTTCAAGAGTTTGGAGCATTGCTTGGACGGGACTTTTAGCTCATCATGCTCGTCCGGATCAAACTAATGATGAGCTTTTTACGTTGTGGGTGCGCGTACACACCCTGAATAGGATGGGAATGGAGTTATAAGGTTCCGTTCATTTCAGTGATTCGATTTTTGTTTAAATGAAAAAATTTTAGAAACAATCATATTTAATTTTTTTTATTATAGTAAAAGGTTTTCACATAAAGTTACATTTTAATTTGAATTAAAAATTTAAATTAACGAATTAAACAGCCAAACATGAAAGAAAATAAGGCATGAAAAACCCCATTTGAACCAAACCAAGTAAAATTGGAGGGGAAAAACTCCCTTGATTACAATTTGAAAACGAACTCGGGTTAGTAATCTTACCAAATGGTTAATTAGACGAGCATTATTCCCTTTGTTTGTGGCATCAACTACTAGTTCTTCACTGATCTTGAAGAGCCGCAGAAAAGATATATACTGGCATTTAGGATCAAAATTGCAGGAACAACTCAAAGACTTAATATTACAACAGCGATAGCTAATACTCAATCAACTTAAAAGAAAGGTGACGGATAAAAAAATCTGATCGTAATAAAATAAGCCAAGGAGTCATTGAGTTAAGGAAAAAAAAAAAAAAAAAAGGAACTCGGATTGCGTAAAAAAATGCTGATGATCTACACTAACAGGTAGTAGATAGTGCTGAACTTTGGGCGGTAGCTGTCTGAAGCCCGAATTTTTTCAGACTTGGCAAGCACGACCCCTATGCCCGCCCGTTTAGCCTAGGGGTCGGGCTCGGGCAGCCCGAAAAAATCCTATTTGAACCAAGCCCAGGCCCGTTCAAACCCCTTGCTTGATGTCCGCCAAACGCCCACTAGAATGCCCGCCCAACGGCTAGTTTTTTGACCGTTTGTGCCCGGCCCGACTGCCGATCTGAAAGTCTGACTTCAATGGCTATTTTTGAGCCGTTGCTTGAGAAGCCTGAACCGCCGCCCAAAGCCTGACCCGCCTGATCAAAAACTAGCTATTGGATTCGAAAATGTGTGTGGGGGGAGGGGAAATTGATTTTTTTAACCCAAAAATTTCCCTATAAATACCCCCCTCCCCCAAACATTTTCTTCACAACATTACTCACATTCTCTCTCAATTTATCTCACTTTTATTCCAAATCTCTCTCACAATTTTTCCACAAGCTCACACAAAATCCTAAAGCTCTCTCTCTCAAAGTGTTCTTATTTCAAGTCTTAAAACTCTCAAAGCTCTTTTCAACTTCAAGCTCTCTCAATTTAGTAGAATTTCATTTTTATAATGGCATCCTTTAGTTATGGTGATAATCCTGTTGATCCCCAAAGTCTGATTCTTACGAATTTTATACTACGCAGGAATCGTAAACACAAGCACCTGAGGAACAATGTCCAATTCCAAATCCCCACCGTGGTGGATCTAGTGGGGGTCGTCGTCGCAATGGTGGGCGTGGAGAGACAAATGCTACTGCAAGTGTTGCAACCTCCAAGCGGAAATGCAAGCGCACCTCCACAATTTAGGAGCACTTCGACGTCCTAGAGGAGGCCGACAATGACAGTAACACTAGACACATAGCTCAATGTAAATATTGCCAATCTAATTTACAAGGTAACACTATTTATGGCACAACAGACTTGAGAAAACACTCTGAAAAGTGTCTTAAAAAACGTGGCCAAACCGGCATATCCGAACTCCGCCAATAGATCGTATGGAAGTTGCGCGAATGATAGCATCATTAGATCATCCACTTAGTTTTGTCGAGCATCCTAATTGGCATCGTTATATTAAAATTATACATAATCCTAATGCACAATTTTTTTGTCAAAAACTACTTTTAGGAATGATTTGTTAAAATTATTTAAACAAGAAAAAAAAGTATTAATCAACCTTTTACACTCTATTAGCGGTTGCGTTGCGTTAACGGCAGATATTTAATCTGCCGTTGCTAACAAATATTATTTATCTGTAACCGGACATTACTTCAAATGTTTCGATTTAGATAAGAGAATATTAGGTTTTAAATGCGTTCTAAGATCACATAACACCGATCTAATATATAATATAATTTTAAATGTCATTGATAAATATAGATTAAGAGATAAAATGATGACTATAATATTAAATAATGCTAGTGCAAATATGATCTTCAAGGATATATGATCAAACTGAAGACAAGTATGTTGGTCTTCAAGGTATGCATATGATCGCTTTTAACTTAATTATCAGGATTAGTTTCCTAAGTTAACTTTTTACTGTTTTTTATTAATTTTTTTTAATATAATATTGTGTTTCAATATATGTGTGGCAAATGCCATTTATAAAAGATTATACATATATGTACACACAACTGAAGTTTGAATTTCTTTGCTCTCTAACTTAATTGTTCCTCACTCACTTTACCGGTCATGTACAGATGCAATGGAGAGACGTTTCCATTCGATGAGGCCTGGATGCAGCGTTCCTAAATTCATGGATCTTAAAACTTTTCGCAATCCTTCCAAAGGCTATCTTCTAAATGACCAATGTATTTTTGGACTAGAGGTTTTCATCATTTAGAACACATTCAAAGGGGAGTGTTTAAGAGTGCTTGATGGTAACACAACTTGCAAATATTCCTGGAAGTTCAATGAACTTTCAAAAAAAAAAATCGATGATGATATGTGTCATGCGTCTGATTTCTTTATTTGTGGAGACCATAAATGGTACGAACCTATTTACGTTTTCTTTACCAGATCAATGTCTGCTATTGGTATTATTGGTTGTGTTTGGAGTTTTTTTAAATTTTTTAATTTTTTTTTTACGTTTTTTGATAAAGAAAAAATAAAAATGAGAGAAAAACGGTGTTTGACACAATTAAAGATCCAAAATTGATAATTTTTTAGTTTAGTGTAAAATAAGAGAGAAATGAAAAATAACTTTTAGTCATTTTTCATTTTTTATTTCCGTTTTCTTCTCTCTCGAATAGAGAGAGAGAGATATTAATAGATTTTTTATACTAAAAATAATTTCTTGATAAAACTACCAAATGCATTTTCAAAAATGATTTCTGTCTAAGATTGAAAATGTTTTCATTTCTATTTTCATACAAAAAATAAAATTATTTTGAAATGAATTCTAAAGGCAATACTTTCCGGGAGGACAGCCATATTGCGGTCGGTTTAAACTAGATACTTACTTTAGCTCTTCCTCCAAATACCAAGCTTCTTGTGAACTATATTTTTCGTCTTAAGGACCGAACTCGAACTGTATGGAAGAAACAGCATGAAGATGATGGGGAGAACTTTTTTTTTTTCTAATTACAAAATTTTCATATATCTTATATTGCAAAATGGTAACGTTTTGTTTTTTGTTTTTTGTTTTCCTTCTCTTTTTACAGGTAGTGTTGAGTTATTCTCCTCTGAAAATACTTTTATTATCCAAAAATGGGATATTGGATTGACGATTCATGCATTATAGATGTCGATATTTATTATTATTATTATTATTATTATTATTATTATCATCATTATTATCATTATTATCCTCATCATCATCATCATCATTATTATTATTATTATCATCATTATCATCATCATTATCATCATCATCATTATTATTATTATTACTATTATTACTACTATTACTATTACTATTATTATTATTACTATTATTATTATTATTATTATTATTATTATTATTATTATTATTAT